TTCCAAGTGCTGGAATTGTGGATATACACCACCACGCCCAGCAGCACTGTTAATTTATAGAAAGCGCTTAATGATGCTTACCACTCACCCGTGTGTCTATCCTCTCTGGGAAGGGCTGGCCCTTTCTAGGGTCAGTCCTCCCAGAAGGAGCAAGTCTTTGGGACTTGGTAGGCAGGCATAGAGTGACAGTTTTTTCTGAGCCCACATTAATGCCTTGATGATGAGTCCAGGCAGAGGGTAAGGTGGTCTCTAACCTGCCAGGTGATACAGAGCAGGCAGGGACTATCCTGTCCCACTGTGCTTCCCACATAAGGTCAAGTACAGTCATCTGAGACTGCCCCCTCCTCAAATATAGGTTCCTAGCCTGGGCCTTATAGTTCAGTAAGATTTGGGTAGTGTTGCGCTATTTACATTCTTCATATATCTGAAGAAAAGAGCTCTGTCCTGTGAGCCACCCCTAGGTGCATGTTGGGGCCTTTGTCATAGCCTGACTGGTGTTGACTAGATCTCAGGCCTGTATGCGAGTGACAGGTCAGGCCTCAGCTTGGGCCTTGGGATTCCTGGAGCGGTGATGGCCCATGCAGACAGGGTGGCTGGGTGTAGGGCAGTGAGAGGGAGGGAAAGCCTTGGGTACCCTTCTCCTCCGTGCCCAGACTTGGGGATCAGGGTATCTGTTGAAAGAGTCATTGTTACTATGAAGGCCAGGTACAGTGTGTGCAGATTTGGGGATCAAAACCCTGAGTCCTTGGAGCGCACAGCAATGGGGAGGATGAGGGCACTGATCAGCACCATTGGTGGCTGCTTCCAACCGCCTTTCTCAGGCTGTAGGGATGAGCTGTTCAGAGCCAGCTTACTCCCCAGTCTGCCAGGTGTGGGATTCTGGAGAGAGACAGTTGCCAGCTGTGTTACTCAGGGCTCCTCTGCCCACGTTGGCAGTGTTCATGGCTGCCTCGCTGCCAGAGGAGCAGGTGCCACAGTGCCTGGCAGCACTCCTTGAGGGCTGTCTGGTCCAGAAGGGGGAGGCAGGAGCTTTGTTGGTGGTCTGGGGGTACGGCCTCACTCAGAAGCTGCCGGCTATGTGCGCTTGCCATCTCAGCCTGAGAAGGTTACACTTCTGGGAGAAAGCATGCTCTGGTCAAGTCCTCAGCTTCCTGAGCCACTTGGCAGGGTCCTGTTCAGTCCTGTCTGAACTGGTGGGCAGAGAAAAGTGGGATGCATGATGGGGAGACAGGGGTGAGGGTATCTGAGGTCTAGAGGTAGGTCCACCAGTCTCAGCTTCATCCCTCCCCCTCCCCTGTTGGGTTTTTTGAGACAGGGTCTTGCTGAATAGTTGAGAATGCCCCTGAACTCATCATGTAGCCCAGACTGACCCTCAACTGGCCCCCAGCCTCCTAAGTACTGGGATTACAGGCATGCACCACTATACCTGGCATTAACTTCAGTCTTACTGAGGAAAGCTATTTTCCCCCTTTCCCAATTCCCCTGAAACGCACATCCAGAGCAAAACTTGAATTCCCAAGAAAGTGGAGAAGTGACCCAACAGGAAAGGGGACCTTCTGCCAGAGGGCCCAGTCTCAGGCTGGTTAGTGGTGCCTGTGCCTTCTTCAGTGCAGGGGAGGGAGAGGAGAGCAAGCAGCTTTTGTGGCTCGGGAGGCTGAGGAATAAGATAGGAGTTGGAGTGATGCATGCTCCTTGTAAAAATTTCAAACAGGACAAAAATAGCCAACGTAGGAAGTGATAGTTCCTGCAGCCCCACACCGCAGAGATAACCGCTACTACCGCCGCAGTGTGTGTGGAATGTGACCAGCTGGGGCCCAGCACCCTTGACCTTCATGCCCAATGAAGGGCATCTGTGTTGCTGATTCTAGTCATTCAGATGGGGCTTGCTTGGATTCAGGGCGGAGTTCATGAACTTCTCTTCTGCTGTACCCGAGGGTCTTCCTGTGCTAAGTGGGGCCTAGTCTGGGTTTGGGGAAAGTGACTAGGATGTAGCCATTAAGACCTAAAGGATCAGGCCCAGGGCAGGCATTGGTTGAGAAGGCAGAGGGTAAGGGTACAGATGGCCACCTGCCTGCACAGGCCCCCTCACACCCTTCCCTTCAGGTCTGTCCATCCTCCCCTTCTTTCCCCCCGTGTATCTCAGGGGACACTAGTACCCCCTCGAGTGTGACTCTCTTCCCTCCCTCCATGCTACAGTGTAGCCTGGCCCAGCCTTCCCGAGGGGCAGCAGAGAAAGCCAGAAGCCCACTCTCACTCTGTCAGGCAGTGGGAATGTGGCCTCAAGGAGGGACCGGGCAGTGGCCCAAGGTAAGCACCTGACGATTTGGTCCTATTAGCCCTTTCCAAAGGGAGAAAGTTGCAGGTGCCCTGAAGCAGACTTTAAAAAAAGAAAAACTGCAGTATTGAGAGGCGGGTAATAAAAGTCACATCACCACCAAGTCTTTGCAGTGACTTAAGTATGGATATTCAGATACGCAAGACGGCTCATGCAAACAACCCCTCCTCCCAACGCCCTGTGCCCCTACATGGAGTAGAAGCCCAGGCAGCTGGTCCTGTGGGGTAGGGAGATCTCACAGAGGAAAGGCTGTTGTGCTGCTGCTGCTGGGACTGAGCCCTTCAAATAGTTCATTGACCATGTTTACCAGGCCTGATGCTCCTGCCTTTAAGCTTGGTCGGATGGGCCTAGAACTGCAGGCAGGCGGGCTGGCACTTAGGCAGAAAGCCTTTCCCTCAGGCCTTGGAGGTGTCACTCCACAGAGTGCCTGGTGCACCAATGAGGACCAGTGAGGACCCGCTGTCTGCTGCTCTCATTCCTGCTATTTGAGCTTGTCCCCCTCCTCTGCCCTTCCCTTCCCTTCCCTTCCCTTCCCTTCCCTTCCCTTCCCTTCCCTTCCCTTCCCTTCCCTTCCTCTTCTCCCTCCCCTCCCTTTCCCTGAACCCAAGGCCTTCACACTGAGCTTACATCCTAACCTTTTTTTAAAACTTTAAACAGTGGGCCAGGGAGATGGCTCAGTAGAATAAGCACTTCACTGGCAAGTGCAAGGGCCTGAGTTCAATCCCCGGTTCCACCAAAAAAAAAAATTTTTTTTTTAAACAGTATCTTGCTAAATTACCCAGGCTAGATTTGAACCTGACTTCCATACTCCTGCCTCAGCCTCCTTGAGCCATGAGAATATAGGCATGAGCTGCATGCCTTGCATACACAAGAAGGAATCAGGGTTTCCCTTATATACGTGGTTTTGGGACATCTCCCCATTGACGATCCTGAGCATGACCTGCCTGTATTCATTGTACTACAGTCTTGGGGCCTTTGTGCTAGTGTGGTTATCCTTCAGGTGAGGAAAACCTTTATATTATGTCCCTCATGGTTTTTTCCTTTATGATTTTTAGTCTTTATTTTCATTAGTAGAACTTATTTTATTTATTTGTTGAGACAACTATCACTGTGCAGTTTAGGCTGGCCTTGAATAGAACTTATTTTTAACGTACTTTCAGGGCTACAGAAAATCCAGTAGAAAATATGAGCCTCGTATGTCCCCCTCAGCCCCCTGTTTTTCTCTATTCTTACCACATTATTCACGTAATGCAATTGTACATTTGCCCCGTCTGCCTCAGTCCATTTGTGTGAACTGGGGCCTGTAGCTCACATCAGGCTTCACTCTATGTATTGTACATATAATGGTTCTGAAAAACAGGCATGTATTTGCTAATAGAGAGTCATACAAAATAGTTTCATTCCCTAAAAACCCCAAATGCTCTGTCAGCTCATCTTTTCTCCTTCTCTTCAAACTTCTGGCAATCACTGATCTTTTTGCTGTCTATAATAGATTTGCTTTTTCCAGAAAGTTCTACAGTGGAATCAAAAGGTGTAGCCTTTTCAGGTCACACTTCAGTTTCTACCTGATGGCTTATTTCTCTTCATTGATCTGTAATAGTCTATTCTCTGGATATACCTGTTTGCTTGTCCATGTACCTCCTTAAGAACGTAGCTTCTGGGTGTGGGCAGCTATAGAGGTCCTGGAAGTATCAGGGTGCAGGGTTTCCTCAGGACAGAAGTTTTTACCTCCATAAGTTAAAAGCCAACGAGCAGTTGTTCCTTGTATGGTGAGGTTATGTTTAGCTGTCTAAGAAGCTGCTAACCCTGCCTGGTTCCCCTTGCCGGACAGTGGCCTTTGCTCACACAGTGAGAGGTCATGTGTGGTAGGGGTCTTTCTTGTCTCCCGGGGGAGTGTGGAGCGGAAAGAACTTGGACTGTGACTCTCCTCTGTCCTTCCCTGTTTGTTCTTGAGTGTTTTTTCACTGGAGCATCACCTTCCTGACCTGCGGTGGGGGTGTCTTCTCCCCTGAGCTCTTCCTTGCAAGGTGTGAAGGGGATCAAGGGAGCATCAGCAGATGAGATCCTTGCCACCCCCCAAGCTCCTGGTCATTCTGGGCTGCTCCTCCAGCTCACAGAGGTATTTTGGCAGGCTGTGGGGTGAGTCACCATATGGCTGAGGGGTGTGTGTGTGTGTGTGTATGCACATGGGTGTACATGCAGTAGTGTTCCTGGCCCTTGGGCTCTGCGTTTGCTGTTCTTTTCTGATGGCTGAGTAGAGCTCTGACTGCTACTGGCTAGAGGACATGATGTTACCGGGAAATGAGGGTGGTCATTCTGTGTCAGGGCCTGGCTAGACATTGCCCCTCCCAGGCCCAGCCTCAGTTTCAGACATTGGGAGGATAAAGTGGCATGGGGGGTCTCTGAGCTCCAGGACAAGGCACTGGTTGAGTAGGGCATGAAGTGGTGACCTCCACCCTGCTTGGCACACCTGAGGTGCTTACCCACTCAGGATGTGGTTTGTTCCATCATGGAGTTTTGGACAGTTTCTCAGCTAGGGCTGTGGCACAGAACTCCAGGCTGGTATGTCAGAGCAGGAGCCTGTAGGAAGAGACCCTGTGAGGTGTGGGTGTGGGGGCCGAGGGCTTCGGGCCTGTCACCAGAACTCTGCCTATTCTCTCCACAGATGGTACAAGCTGCACTCCAAGACAGGCAAAAAGGAGAAGGAACGCGGAGAGATCCAAGTCACCATCCAGTTCACACGCAACAACTTGAGCGCCAGCATGTTTGACCTGTCCATAAAGGACAAGCCACGGTCTCCCTTCAGCAAGCTGAAGGATAAAATGAAGGGCAAGAAGAAGTTTGACCTGGAATCTGCCTCTGCCATCCTCCCAAGCAGTGCTCTAGAGGATCCCGAGCTGGGCAGCCTGGGCAAGATGGGCAAAGCCAAAGGCTTCTTCCTCCGCAACAAACTGCGCAAGTCATCTCTGACTCAGTCCAACACCTCGCTGGGCTCGGACAGCACCTTGTCATCGGCCAGTGGGAGCCTGGCCTACCAGGGCCCTGGCGCTGAGCTCCTTACCCGTTCGCCGAGCCGCAGCAGCTGGTTGTCCAGTGAAGGGGGTGAGTGGGGGAGGGCTGCATGCTGGGTGAGGACGGTCCCGGATCCTCTTCACTGTGCTAACTCTGCATTGTCTCTTTTGCAGGCAGGGATTCTACACAGTCCCCCAAGTTGCTCACCCATAAGAGGACCTATAGCGATGAGGCCAGCCAGTTGCGTGTGGCCCCTCCCCGGGCCCTTCTTGACCTCCAGGGCCACCTCGATGCTGCGCCTCGCTCCTCTCTCTGTGTCAATGGGAGCCACATTTACAATGAAGAGCCCCAACCTCCTGTGCGGCACCGTAGCTCCATTTCAGGCCCATTTCCCCCCTCCAGCTCCCTTCACATCGTCTCCTCCCGGCCCTCTGAGGAGGGGTCTCGGTCCTCGGATGACTCATGGGGCAGAGGCAGCCGAGGTGGTGCTGCCAGCTCATTGGAAGTGGCGCCTGCGCAGGAGGAGCTGAGTGCTCAGGCCAAAGCACCCTCTGGGGAGGAGCGGGCCCAGCCCCCCGAGGGGAGGCCTGTCCAGGTTGCCACGCCCATACTGGCCTCTGAGGCTGTGGTAGAGAAGGAGGGAGCTCGGAAGGAGGAGCGTAAGCCCCGGATGGGCCTCTTTCACCACCATCACCAGGGCATAAGTCGGAGCGAGTTGGGGCGCCGTGGCTCTGTGGGGGAGAAGGGTGGTCCCACACTAGGAGCCTCCCCGCAACATTTGTCCAGTGGGGAGGAAAAGCCCAAGAGTAGCTGGTTTGGCCTGAGAGAACCCAAGGAGTCAACCCAGAAACCCAGGTACGTCCTTGGCTAGAGTGGTTCTGTGTCTTGGGAGGACACTAGGTGTTTGCTGCCTGGAGCCTGGGGCAGGGAACAGGGAACAGATGTGTCCCTGGGGTAGGCTGCCGGGGCTGTGGTTTTGCATGTTGAAGCGAGAGTACCCTGTTGCCCTCAGCCAAGGCTCGTGCCGTCCACGTGGAGACAGGTGAGTTGCAAGGGTGCCTTAAGGTCCTAGGGATGAGGTGGTCATGTGCCTCTGCGTGAGTTGGCATACTCGGCCCCTGAGGAGGATAGTCAGGATAAAACCAGGCAGGGACACTTGCGAGGACTTGGAGTCCTGACCTCCACCTCTTGCCATCTGGCCTCAAAGTAAGGAAGCTTTGGCATATAGGGAGGTAGGGCCAGGGGACTGTCCCACTGTCTCCAAAACTAGACTCTTACCCTTAGCTGCTCTGCTGGCTCTGGAATCTCTTCCCCTGAAGGATGGGGGTCAAATAACCAATGCTCCAACCCTCTTGCAACCCCATTTACTTCCCATCCCAAAGTGCCCTGGCAACTTAACTCCTATCCTTGGGGACCGCTGGGGCTCTGGCCCTCTGTGTCTCCTGGGCTTGGGTGCAGCTCTGTGTGGAATGCTGATGATGGCTGGCCTGCTTGAATGTGTTGAATCCCCCAGTTGGGTTCCAGAAGAGCCCCTGACCTTCCCCTGATCCTTTGCTGCCTCATTCTCTGGGCCAGGGGAGGAGATTGCATTGTCTGGCAGAGTCCAGGAGGGACTCCAGGAGCAAGTCACAGAAATCTGTGTCTGTCCCCCTTTCCAGCACCAGATGGCACCATCTGTGGCAGCCTCAGCTGGTGAGAGGCGAGAGGCTAGTTGCTTCCATTCCCTCACCAAACCCCTTGGTACCCAATGGATGTAGGAATAGGTGGGAGGGAAGCCGGGGCTCAGCATTGAGAGGTCAGGAGATAGGGCATGGGGGGGGGAATGCTACCCCTCTACCCTAGCAGAGAGGAGAGGAATCCTGTAGTCTCATTTTTCTTTGTGGAACACTGACTGCTGAGAGGAGGGAGAAAAGTGTGGGGCCTTTCCATTTGGAGCCCCCCCATTAGGGCCAGCTGATCTTCTCATTAGGGCCTCACAGAAGAGGAGTGTGTGTGGTGGTTACATTAATCATGGTGTGAGCCTGCCCGTTCCCTCCCTGCTTAGTATGGTAGCTCCTGTCCCTATGATCCAGTCCCTACTACTAGTGCCCTAGAAGCTTCTGGCCACCTGCAGTCTGGGGATGCTTGGGGAGGAAAAGGGGACAGGCCTTTGCTAGAGATCCAGGCTGTACCTCATGGCCCTGTGACAGGTATTTGAAGGTGGAGGAAGGCAGATGACCTGGGCATGGCATTTATTGGAAAGAGCTGGGGGCCTGAGTCACCTTGGGCTCGGTGGCAGTGTCTGCAGGCGTCCATGGGTCTCCACAGCAGGGCAGATGCTGTGGTCATCTCTGAGAGGTCTGTAGGTGAGCACACAGGCTTCTGCTCAGGCTCTGCAGACTGTGGCTGCATGATGCACTGTGACGGGTGGTTATTACACTTGGCTGCCAACAATCTCGTCGCCTTCTCTTCCTTTCTTATGTCTGTCCTCTAAAAGGCTTTCAGAGTTTAGAGAATTTGGGTTGCTAATGGATGTAAGGAAGGCTTCCTCCTGTGGACTTGGATCCCGAGCCTTGTGCTCTGCAGGCTAGAGGGGACCCTGGGCATCCCTGCACTGCTTGGCCCCATTTGTTTTTGGAGCAGAGGGTAGCTGTGGGGCCATGCAACCAGGGAAGGTAGAGGAGCCCGCTTTTTGGGTGAAGCAATGACTCAGAGGGATGAAACCTGGGCAGTGAGCTCTAGCCACAGGTGTGCTTGCAGAGAGAGAATGGCTGGCCTGGAAGAAAAAAAAATTATCCTGACCTTCCTTAGGGCTTCTGAGGACAAATGAGACGTGGGAGAGCTCATGCATCAGGTTTTAGGCTAGACTCAGAGCTGGAGTAAACAAGTGTATCTGAGGATCTCCAGCTAGCACAAAGGCCCCTGTCCAGAGGAATAGGGATTTGGGGTGTCTCTGCCCTGGGGTTCCTGGTGCAGAGTGCAGGTGTTCCTCTGTAGCAAGGTCAGCAGCGCCCTCTAGTGCTCTCCTGTGGTATTGATGCCTCACAGAGGCTCGAAGTGGAATGTGTTGCAGTTGGAGGATGTGGTTGGTGTCTAGCAGAGGAGAGCCTGGAAGATGGTCCGCCTGGGCCTTCTGGTGTCGCTTGGCTGCTGGCCTGGGGTTGTTACACTAAGCTCCTGTCTGTGTATGTGGAAGGGTGATCTGGGCAACCCTGGGGGGTCACTGGACTCATCCTTGTTCAGCAGCCCTCCAGTGAGCCATGTGTCCGGAGCGGTGCTGCCGGCTGCTTAGTGTTAGAGAACAGGCAAGGCCGTGAGTGTTAAACCTGCCAGTTGAAGAGTGAATTGCTTTTGTGCCTACCCCTTCCCTTTCCCTCCCACTCACCACAGATCTTTGTGTATGGAGGAGATAATATGTGAATACAATTTTGTAAAACATTGGGGTTAAATCTAGTGTGACTGAGAGGCAAAGGGATCATTACTGTGCCCTTTAACCTTTAGCGGCTCTCTGTCTCCCCAGGCAACAGCCCCACCTCCACTGTGCTGAATAGCAGGTCCCAGTGGTCCAGGATTGCTGTGGTGCTGAGTGCAGGAGCTACGGCTGTGTTCTGAGTGGTGTCAATGAGTAGCGTATGCCCAGTCACTTAGAATTTCTGTGGCTCTCTGTCCTTTTTGTGCTTGTTTTCCTGGTATAAGCTATATTAGGCCAATGAGATAGTTCAGCAGACTAAGTGCCAGCTTAGGCAAGCACAGGGACGAGTTTGATCCCCGGCATCACATGCCGTGCTGGCCCCACCCCCGAGTGCACTGAGCTGGCCATTGAAACCAGGTGTGGTAGTGCATGTCTGTAATCCTAGTGCTGGGGAGGCTGAAAACAGGAGGATCATTATGAGTCTGAGCTTCATAGTGAGACCCTGGACCAAATACATATGTATTAACATTGTTCTTGCTTGAAAGGTAAATGGTATGGTTTCCCTACTCAGAACTCACAAAGGCCCTCTCTCACCAGTTTCTGGACTTAGGGGAGATAAATGCCTGGAGGCCATTGACCAAGAGGGGATGGATGAGGGCATGTGGCTGGGGTGGGGATGTCTTAAAGGCTGGCTTAGCCCTGTAGGGGACTGCTGGATGGCATGTGCAGGTCTGTTTGCATTTCTGAGACTAAAACAGGGAACAAGGCCACAGAGCTCATCTGAGACCAAGGAAGCAGGGGCTGCTAGTGAGACCTGCCCTGCCACTCAGAGGTGGCCCTGGGTGTGGGGCTTATGGGGGTCAGTGTCTGAGTAAATAGGCAATTCACATCAACTGGCATGTTCAACCAGCCATGCTGAGGTTCCTGTAGGATCTGAAGTTTTATCGTTCAGTTGAAGGGACAGGGGCATTTGGACTCTCCAGTATTTAGCCCTAAAGGAAAAAAGTCAGCAAATGTTATACTCCCACAGCTGAGGGTGGGAGGCTGTGCCAGGCCTGTGAGGTGGGCTCCAGAACACAGGTGTTTACTCTATCTGTGTTCCTGGAGCACAACCTACACAGAGGGCCACACAAGGGACCATGCCTCTGATCTGCACCAGCTGGGCTGGTAGCGAGGAGATGGCGTGCAGTGAGGACCTTCTTGGTGTGCTTTTCATGTGGAGCAGAAGATGGGTGAAGTGGCCATGATACAGGAGACCAGGATGGACAGTGTGCTGTCATGCGCTGCTGGCTCTGGGTGCCTCCTGGGCCTGGTGCCTGGGCCCACCCTCCAGGGAGAGCCCTTTGCTGATTCCATACCAACGAGTTTGTGTTTGTCTCCGGGGAGCCTTGAGCGGGGAGGCCGCCACACATAGCTTGAGCTCCCAGTCTACTTGGGGGCTCCTCTCCCTGGAGTGGTGACTGCCTGAGGATTGCTGTGAGACTGCAGGGTGAGTGGGGGAGCAGGCCAGGCTGTGGGGGTGTGGATCTGTGCTTGCTGATCTTTATCATTGATGGGGCTCTCTGGTTTCCTAACTTCCCATTATTAATTAAAGGTGAGACAGAGGTAGCTCAGGGTATCCCAGATCTGATCCAGGTGGCCAGAGCTCTGCTGCAGGACCAGGGCTGGGGCTGGTATGGATGCCTTGATCAGGATGCTGAGGATAGGGTCTTGACCCACGTGGTGGTGGTACTTACTTCTCACTTTTCTTGGTTCCTGGGGCAGGCCTGCATGCCTTGGCCCAAGGCTTGCCTAGAATGAAGAAGGGGCATTTTCTGGGGTTGGGTGTCTGGGTCCCTGTTTTCCCTCAGCCCATAGAAGTGGGGTAATGCTATGAGCCCAAAGTGCAGGGTGGGTATGCCTGGGAGGTCTGCTTCCTCTGCCCATCTCTATCATGGAGTAGGGATGAGACTAAAAATCTATGCTTGGATGCGGAGTTATTTTAGGGAAAAAAGTAGGGTCACAAGAATCTCTGGAGCCTGGCAATGTCCTGCCTATGAGGCTGACTTCCCCACTCCCTACACCTTTGCCTGTGGTTGAACTGGCTGGACTCTTTCCCTCACCTGCAGGCTCCACGCGCAGCCCTTCCCTTTCTGGACCTTGGGTTCCTGGAAGAGTCTGGCAAACTCCAGACAGCTTGGCCGCTTTCTCTAGGTATCTTCTAACTCCAGGTCTCTTTACTCGTGGGCTGGCTACTGAAGCCTGGTTTCTGCTTCGGGGATCAGCACTGCATTTCCAATGGAAGCAGCTGGTTGAGTGAAGACAGAGAACAGGGAAAGGAGTTTCCCTTAGATATTTCCACCTGGGGAGGCAGAGGTCAAAGAATGGCGTATTGGGAGCTTGGAGATGGGGTGGGAGACTGCCCATGAGGAAGAGACTTAGATTGCAGGGAATAAGACTGAAGTCAGGCTCTGGACAGGCTTAACTGCAGGCCACTGTCACACTACTGAAAATTGGGGTGTTTGGCCCACTTTCCTCCCATACTATTTCTCTAGCTTCCTGTACCCTCAAGAAGCAAAGGCTGTATGTTCAGAGTATCCTTGGCATCTGTGGAGTCACTGGACAGGGCTCAGGTGTAGGGGTCCTCGTCCTGCGAGGACTGTTGGGAATACCTGAAGTTGGTCTTTAGTGCACTCATTGCTGTGGAATGGATTCCGAGAGGACCTGCCCTGTTTCTGCCCCAAGCAGAGCAGGGGATTTGGGAGAAGACTCTGGAAGCTGCTGATGACTTGCTGTGGCTGTCGCATTCTCAGCCTTTGTCTTTTAAGGGTGGCCTGTGAGGGATAGTGGGGGCCACCACCTGCCTGCTATGTAGATTCTTGACCATAGGCACTCTCAGCAGGTATCCTATCCTCTTCAAAGAAATGATTGTTGCTGTGCCATGCCTGATGACAGCCCTTCTTTGTCCCTTTGTTCTGAAAAAAAAAAAAAAAAAAAAAATCAGTAGGACCTAGTGTGTTTCAGAAGCCTGAATTCTAGGTGCCCTGCTTGGTTTTCCTGGTGCCAGGTTTACCCAGCCAAACCTAGGCTTGCACTTGCTCTGGTCTCTTGTTCTTCAAGCCAGCTGGTATTTTCTTGGCTTACTCTCAGGCCTGAAAGTGGTGTCAGGTGATTTTGGTTTGCTTTTTTTTTTTGGTCCTGGGAATTGAATTCAGGGCCACATGCTTGCGAGGCAGGTGCTGTGCCGCTGCGCTGTATCTCCAGGCCTGGAGTGCTTTTTAAGTGTAAATCCAATGTCAAACAGACTCACTTGGTTTAGGTTTGAATATTACCTGTAAAATGGGACTACTACTTCTGGAGTTGATGTGAGGATTAAGTTAGCCCTGCCCAGATTTTTCTCCTTGGGTGGGACCTAAGAATGTTATACATTGGTCTCTTCCCTCTGTCCCTGCCCAAGTCCCGGTGACCAGCAGCACCTTGTCTGGAGGTGGGGGTAGGGCAGGGGAGGGGGTAGGGTGGGAGCAGGGGATAGTAGTCAGCAGGGCAGTTAGTGGTCTCAGCACTAACCAGGAGGCTCATGGTCTTGTCTTCCTCCACAGCCTGGACGTGTCTCCTCAGGTAGAATCTGGCCCAGCTGCTGCTCCTCACCACCTCCCCTGCTCCCCCTGGGCTCCGGCCCCCCCCATTCCTGTTCCCACTGCTGCTCCCATGCTAAGCACTAACCTTTTTGCAGCCACCTCCCCTGCTGCTGCCACTGCTGCCGCCGCTGCCACCACCACCACCACCACCACCACCACCCCCGAAGCCACCCTGTCTGGATTCTTGGGTGCCACCAACCCGTTCCTCACCTCTTTGCAGAGCAACCCCTTCTTCGAGGAGCTCGTAGCCAACATAGCACTAAACTCTCCTTCACCTGCTCCCTCTCTCCCCAGTGCCTCGAGGGTCAGCCCTGTCCCCCTGGCCTCCTCTGGGAGAGCCCTGCCTGAGTGGGACGACACCTTCAACATCTTTGCTGCTAGCAGACTGCATCCAGAGGCCAGGAACAAGATCCTAGCCCCAGCAGGAGTGGGGCTGGAGACGGCTGGGCTGCAAGATTCAGGCCCAGGGGCCATGGCAGTGAATGCAGCTGAGCCCCAAGGAGATCCTGGGGGAGGAGGCGGTGAGAGCAGCGTGTGGGCAGAGCCTGGGGCTCCACTGGACTTGGGACTGGACCGGCAGAGCACAAGTACATCTGACCCCGGGCCCCTTGGGTCAGCAAGGGCCACTCTGCCCCCTGAGCTATACCTTCGAGCCTCAGCCTCAGCACCAGACAGGGAGCCACTGGCCCCTGAAGGTGGAGCAGGGCAGAGTCCAGCAGATAGTGGAAAGTCTCTGTTCAGCTCCCCAGAAGTGCTTGGTGCATGGGAGCAGCTGCCAGGTTTGGATGACACCCCTGAAGGCCAGGACGCGGACACTCCCCAAAGGGAAAGCCAGTTTTTCCATGAGCTCAGTACAGCAGAGGATTCCTGGCCCTGGGATGTGGTCACCATTTCTCCTGCAGCTGAGATGGCCTCACCAGTCCTGCGAGGAGAATCTGATGAGCTGCCTGCTCTCCAGCTGCTGCCAGAACCACCTGCCACTGTGACTCCCATGCTGAGCGAGGGCCTTCCCCTGATGGAGCTGGACACGGAGCTTCCACCTGAGTCGGACGAGGGGCTGCAGCCCAGCACGCCGCCGCCCAAGCCACCACGCCTCTTCATGCCCTCAAACTCTCAGGTGGAGGATGAAGAAGAGAAGGCTGCAGGAGGGCCGAGTAACCAGGAATCAGGGACAGAAGAAGAAGCCACCCCAAGTACTTTGTTTGTTGGTCCTCAGGAAGCCATGGAGGAGAGTGAGAAGCCTGAGTCAGGGGAGTTGGACAGCCCATCTTCTGGGACCTTGCTGGGTGAGCCAGGCCTGGAGGAGATAGTAGAAGATGTCAGTGCCCCTGGGCCTGGGGCCTGCCTGACTGTGCCCACCAGTTGCCCTGAGGGGCCTGTGCCTGTACCTGTACCCTGTTATTCAGCAAGCTCAGCTCTTCTAAGTCTGCAGACCTGGGGGGCTCCAGAGACAGAAGGTCCTGAGGCCTTGAGCCAGGAGCCAGCAGAAGAGTCCCTTGCTCCTCTATCAGATACACCCCACGAGGCTGATCTGGGGGCCTTGGAGGAGGCCTTGAGCCCCTTGTCTCAGGGGAGCCGAGATCCCCCTAGTCTTCCGTCCACATCCCCACCAGTGTCCAGAGAGTCTTCCATCCACTCTGGTCCAGAAGAGCCACCCACGCCCCCAGAGCCTATCTTTCCACCACCCCCTCTCCCGCCCTGGGCCAGCCACCGCCATGGGGGACCTGGCCCTCCATGCTCTCCCTTGTCTGGAGCCTGGCCCCTGACTTCTTCCTCCCCACCTCTGGGGGAGCCAGACTCACCCCCTGGCTCCTTTGAGCCCTCCCCCCCTGAAGGCCCCCCTGTCCCACTCGGGGAAGACCACGTTGCAGCCACCCCAGCCTCCCCGCTTGTGCTTCTGCCCTTGGAGACACGACCAGCTGAAGAGCCACAGCCCAGTGCCAGGTGAGCTTCCACCCTGAGAACCTTTTCCAGGAGGAAGTGGGAGGAGGGGCCATAGCAGCACGAGGGGTGGAGATGGTCACATTCTGGTCTTATCCTTGCCAAGGGAAGTGAGGGCCCCCACCACCGTGAGGAAATGGTGGAGGCTTTGAAACCATGAGCATTCTGTGGTGGTACCAGCTCTGAAGCTGCCTCTGTCATGAGACCTGAGACAGCAGGGCGGCCCACAAGCCAGGGGCTTGAGGAGTAGTGCTGACAGGGAGCAGAGGTGAGGAACAGAATGAGGGAGACTGGTGTGCACTCACACGGAAGGGGAGTGAGAGCTGCGCCCACAGTGCAGGGCATTCTCCAGGGGGCCCCAAGGAGTAGTCTGGCAGTGGAGCAGGCCAGGAGAGCAAAGAGCCAGAGGGACCAGGGCTCAGGCTAGGAAGCAAGCTGGAAGTACCTTCAAAAGGGCAGAAAGAAAAGCAAGGTGCTTTTCTCATCTATAACCCTCAGAAGAAAGGCTGCTCTCTTACACAGTGGGTGCTTCGCTGGCTGCCCTCTTGTTGGTTTTGTAGGCCTCCAGTTGGTCTGGTTCAGAGATGAGTGCCTGTGTGACCGGTCACAGTGGCCCTGGGCTGTGGGAAGAATGATAAGGCTAAGACCAGGTGGCTCGTAAGGAGTGATGATTGTTGAAGTCTGGAGACTTGGGAGTGAGATGTGGTGGGTGTGACTCAGCTGGGACAGCAGAGTCAGGGACATTAATGCTCTAGGAGGCCTGAGTGGAGGAGGGGCACACAGGGTGCAAGGTTTGGGAAGCAGGTCAGGCTCCAGCACAGGCCTCTGTGAGGCCCCAGGTTGCTCAGGCATTTGTTACTGGTGATGCTGATGTAGCCTGTGCTCTGTGCTAGTCCATTGAGGAAGGCTGGGTCTGGGGAAGGAGGAGCCTTGGGGAAAGCAGGGCTGACAGCTGAGAAAGAGCAAGAGTGAGCCTAGACATCCCCACCCTTCTCCCCCAAAGGCAAGTGCAGGTTCTGTGTCCCCTGTAGCAAGGGAACTGAGAGGATGAGTGGCTCCCTTGTTTCTTGATAACATCATCCTCAGCTGGCCCTGTTGGCTTCTAGCACAACTTCTACTTATACTCAACCCTTTCTGGAAGTTTTGTTGTTTTGAGTCGGCTTTCTGTCTGTCCTTGGTGTGTCCCTTATATTATGAAGTGGGTGAGCCAACTGCAGCTCTCTGTCTCAGAAAAGACCTGCAGGGCCAGGACCCTTCAGATGGGGGGCAGTCAGACTGTGAGCTGTGCATCCTGGCAGCCCACTGAGGGAGCTTCAGCGCTGTGCTGGTCATCCCTTCCCACTGTGTATAGGTGGCCTTCGCCTAGTGCCTGCTCGCAGGTGGCATTAAGGCGGACACACGTGCATCTCTCCCTTACTCTGCACCACCTGTCAACGCTTGGCCTCTTTTCAGAGTCTGGATCCCCAGCCTTTCTTCAGTGACAGAGGAGCTTCTTTGGGTTGGTGCGCAGAGGCCTCAGCCTTGCCCACTGGACTGGCACAGAGCAGAGGCTCTGTGAGCACCGCTGGTAACTGACCCAGCAAAGGCCTGAGAAGCCTGGGGCCTCACAGAGGCCTGCGCTGGCTCGTGACCTGCTTCCTGCACCCTGTACTGTGCTTCTCAGTGGAGTTTAGAGTCTGGGATTAAACACTTTGCTTTCTACTCCTGAGGCTTAAACCTGCTGTAGAATGAATGTAAATTTTTAAGACTTCCCTCACAGGAAGGGAGCTTTTGAGAGCCTGATGCTTACATGGTATTTATCACTATAGCAAGTGCAGGCCCTGGAGGTCTGAGGAGTACCATTGTGGGGAAATCAAGAAGCCTTCATGGAGTAGGAGGCTTGCCCAGCTTAGGAGTAGGAACTAAGCCGTGAAAGAAACAGGCCTACTCCAGGCAGAGAAGAGTTTTCGTAAGCCCCAGAAGTTAACGTCAGCACGGCTGCTTGTGGGTGGGGGACTAGTAGGCCATGAGGAAAGGGCAGGCCCAGAATGCATTAGATTGTGGTTTTTTTTTTTACCTCCACACAAGTCAATGAAGGATTTTTTAGCACAGGAGAGGACAGATCTTTTTTACTTTTTATTTTTTAGCCAGGATCTCACTATGTAGTTCAGGCTGCCCATGAATTTACTTCGGTAGCCCAGGCTGGAAGTCAAGGTGATCCTCCTGCCTCTGGCTCCTGAGTGCTGGGATTATAGGTATGCGCCACCTTGCCTGCCTGAGGTCAGCTCTTGATGCTGCAGCAGGGTGTGTGGGTGTGACTGAAGGTGGGCAGAACTGTGCTGGATGGAGGAGCAGACTAGAGGCTGTGGCTGAAGGCAGGTGCAGCTAGCCTGGAGAAGAAGGGAAGTTCTGAGTGAAGGTAGGGAAGGAGCAGGGCCTGACTGATTGTTAAGACTGAGGCTGCAGACAGTAGAGGCCCTGGGAGGCTCCCTGCTGGGTACAGAAGGAAGGGCTGGTGTGAGGAGATTCTGCATGGTGAGCAGGGGAGCTGTCCTGCGGCCTGTGCACAGGTCAAAAGCCTGGTGGAGGCCCTGGCTTTGGGCCGGCAAAGAGGAGGGGAGAGAAGCAGAGGGTGTTAGCATTAGAGCCAAGGAGAAGCTGCCAGGCCAGAACACAGGTGGAGGGGACAGCAGCCCAGAAGAGGGAGAGGGCTAAGTGTGCACCCCACAGAGATGTCAAGGAGGTGAGAGCTGAGCAGGTTCCCAGGTGGTGTGGGCTGGAGGGGCCAGAGGCCTGTTCTGAAGGAGGATGAGTGAGGGTGAGGGTTAGTGCAAATGTAGGATCATGGGGAATTCAGGCAGGTCACAGGCCTGCCTTATTGTACATGGGAAACCACCAGTAGAGACAGGCTGGTGACACTGCTCCCAGTTTGCCTAGGCCTTTCCTAGTTTTGGCACTATCTTGGGAATACCTAGGGTCCTAGAGAAATCAGGGGGATAGGTTTTCTCTCCAGAAATACAGTTTGATTAGAAAAAATGTAGAAGAGACAGGAGGGAAGAGGGGGCATCCCTGGCAAGCTGGGTCCAGGGATGGAAGTGTGCAGGATGTGCTCTACTGTAAATGTTAAAGGGCCAGCTCCTCGGATCCGAGAGGGAGTGAAGTGGGGAGGAAGTACATGGTGGGGGATTGGGGCACAAGTGGAGCAGCTGTCCAGCAGAGCTGGAGGCTCTGTAGAGAAGGCAGCCCCACGTTTGCACTGTCCTTCTCTCCCCATAACCCATCTCCTTCTGTCCTTGCAGTCCCCACCCTGTGAAGCCTCTCAGTGCAACCCCTGTGGAGGGCAGCCCCGACAGGAAGCAGCCCCGCTCGAGCCTGAGCACGGCCCTGAGCAGTGGGCTGGAGAAGCTCAAAACAGTCACATCTGGCAGCAGTCAGCTTGTGGCCCCGGCGCTCCAGCTTGGCCACACTGTGGATGCCAAGAAGCTGAAGGTGAGGTCCGGTGGAGTGCTCGGGGCATCTGACAGAAAGGTTTGGAGTTGTGGAGCAAGGAGCAGGCTGGGTCTTCTATGCCAGGCCTGAGACCAGTTAGATTGCCTGTGTCATCAGAGACAGAGGTAGCTTCAGGTCCTGCGGTAGGAGAATGGGGGTGCTGGGGGACAGGTTAGCCCCAGGCCTGGCCACCTTCCTCACTCCCATCCCCTCTCACCCGTCTCAGGACTCTGCTGCGCCAGACCAGTCAGCCAAGTACTACCACCTGACTCATGATGAGCTCATTGGCCTGCTCCTGCAGCGAGAGCGAGAGCTGAGCCAGCGGGACGAGCACGTGCAGGAGCTAGAGAGCTACATTGACCGGCTGCTGGTGCGGATCATGGAGACCTCGCCCACACTGCTGCAGATCCCGCCTGGTCCCCCCAAGTAGCCGTCCCACTTCCACCCTCATCCCCAGAGGGTTGATGAGAACTTGCTGCCCAGTCAGCGCCCATGTGCCCACCTGCCCTCCTTTCCACCAAATACACTCACCTGGGCAGGATACAGCTGTCCTTGTGGTCACTCCCTGCTCCCCTGCACTTGCCTCTCTGAAGGGGGACCCTGGGGCCCCACTGGAGGCATAAAGTTCCATGTACAACTTGTGTGTCTGTGGGGGTCCTAGGGCTTTGCCACCTGCCTCTTTTCATACCCCTTAGCTTCAGGGCTCTGCAGAATCGAACAAGTCTGAAAGAGGCTATTGCTAGCACAGACTTTATTACCCCCCAAGGATGGTCTGCTGTTCCTTCCCACCACAATCCCTTATCCTCATTTTCCTCCAGGCTCTGGAGGGGATCTAGTATTACAGGGACAGGGATAGGGATGGGGACAGGGACCGGGACCAATCTGATCATTTGTCCAAGTTGTGGGCCACCTGGGTGCCTACTCTTCAGCTTTGCCCTCTTTCCTGAGAGCAGGGGCCTCTGTGTCCCTGTCTAGTCTTTGCCATGTTCCAAGTTTTTTTTGCACTTTGAGCTGTTGCAGAGCGAGTGCCGCGTGGAAGGATGTGGTGATGTCTGTTGTCCAGGCTGCCCCCTGCCTCTCTTTGGACCTTTCCACTGGGTGTCACTGCTGAGTGTGAAGGTAGAGCTGGGTCCAGAGAGAGCTCCTCCTCGCTCTTCTGTTCTCCATTCATCTCTGATGTACAGGCCCCACCACGTCAGGGGTGTAGGCTGCTTATGTTTTGGGGATCAAGCCTCCATGTCTGTTCCTGTTTCCTGTCCAGATGCCAAAACTCTGTGCTGCAGGGTTTGAACTTTTGGAAACCAATGAAAATGTGCCTTTCGTGAGTGGGGTTAAGCGCCTCTTGATGTGGATATCTCCCCTGCTGTGACATCCCCCTTCTTCCTGCTTGAGCACACCTGGATGGCTCTGTCAGGGTCCTGGGAAGGGGAATGGAGGTTGAACAGTCCTGCTGTGTGTTCTTCTCCTTCCTGCGAATCTCAGCTAAGGGTCTGGCCAAGCTGCTGCTACTAGCCCTCCTGCTGTCTTCCATTCCTATTCCACCCCATTTGGAGGATCCTAGGATAAAAACCCCTGGTGAGTTATAGATCTGAGGCCAGTCCTGGCCTGGCCTCAGCACAACCATGCTGAACAGTTGGCTATTCTGGAAGTGGGGGCCGCACTATGCCTTAGGAGACACCTATACTCCTTTGTTGCTCCCCCACCCATCCACTAAGCTGCTATCCCAGGCTGTCCCTTTTGCCTTGCCTGGCTTGGCTGCAGCGCATTTTGAAATGAAGTATCTGATCTTTGGCCTAGCCCCTGGTTTGCTTGTGGAAAACATGGCAGGTTTTCCCCATGACATCTTTTGCTACATTGGGCACCCTCATTAGCAAAAATTGAGGAGTGTGGGCATACCAAAGGAGCATACTTTTAGCCTCCTGAAGGGACAAGAACTCCTCTGGGGCTGTCTCCTGTCAGCCTGCACAGAGGGCCTCGGGATGTGTCCTGTGGGTGATGGCAGTCTTCTGCCAGGATGGAGCAGGTGGGTTCTGCACCTGGGAGAAAGCCTCTGAAGAGTTGCCTACCTTCAGGTTCACTCACCACAACTGAGAAATATATCCACATGTGCCCAGATCTTCAGCCACACTTTTGAAGGGTCACTGAAGAATGGAGAAGATTTTCCTGAGGGAAAGGCCATTCCCCTACTAGGTATTTCTCGGCTCTCTTCGATTCCAGACCCAGACCTGGGTAGGTGTATCTTCAGAAGAGGTTTTGAATTGAATGCAGCAAAGGGTTCATGTTTTTGCTCCTAACCACAAGCTACAGGGTCGGGTGGTGGTGGTGGGCAGGTAGCAGGCACAGTTCTGCTTTGCTGTTTGTCTCCCTAGATGTACCTCCTGTTTATAAAGAGCTTGTTCTTCATGTTTTGAGCACTTTATGAAGAATAAAAAGTTCACGTACTGCAGGTGGCCTGTTGCTTTCCTGTTTTGAAATGAGTGGTTGAAAGAAGCTGCCTGTGAGTGGGGTTTCAGTGTCACAGGCAGTGACACAGTGATGTGCAGTAGCCTGGACTCAGTTTTCCCACTCCCAAGGTGCCTGTTTATTGGTCTCCTCTTATTGGCATATTTATTGGGTGCTGTGGGGGAATACAGAGGGACAAAGACTTGATTTTCTTAAAAAAAAAAAAAAAAAAAAAGACTTCATTTTTGTCCCCAAGCTACTTAGTCTAGTAAGGGGAGAGAAGATACAAATACAGCATGCAAACTGATCTTCATGGCTAGCTAGACTTTCTCCAGCTTCAGGAAAATTCTGTTTCTTTGGGTTCAACCATTAGTGAGTGGATGAGGAAATTGGACTCCTACTCATGCAGTGTGCAGAAAAAGATGATCAGGTGCAAGCACCTCACCATTAGAGGGAGACACAAAGGATTCCCTAGAGACCAAATCTATCTTCTTGGATGAAACAGGCAGCACCTCCTCTCCCGCCTAGGTCTGTCTCATTGCTCTGCCCCATTCTGCAGGAGCAAGTGTTTATTGTCTGCTGGGCTTGGTTTACAACCTGCAGTACTTTCCCATTTAAAGTACTTGTAGCTGGTACTTGACAAACAACTCTACTAAACCTATTCCCCACCCTCCAGGAAGTAGCCCTGGGAGGGATCTTCCTTGATTGCTAAAGGAGCGAGCAGCACTGGTCAGAGCTCTTAAGCCCTGAATGTGGAACTTAAGCACATTTAGCTGACTCTAACCTGAGCCCTCCCAATGGCTGGTTCTGAAGACTTAGTGACTCAAAAAGTCACGGCCCTAGCTCTGTAGAAAACACAGGTATATAAATTGTAAACAGTTACAAAGTGCTGCAAAAGACAAGTGTAAGGGCTATAGATCGATCCTGTGTGGATTGTGTGGAAGTGAAATGCAGGATCAGGAAAAGCAGTATAAATTGCAAGACCAGAAAAATCCTGAAAATCCTGCCTTAGGAGAAAAGTTAGTCTTCTGAGTAGAGGATGTAAAGTAGGTCGGGCAGCGCAAACGCTGGTTGTGAGGTCAGTCTGTTGAATGTGAAGAAACTGCTGGAAAATTTCGCAGTGCAACTCCTTGCTGAAAGGCTCCCGAATTAACCCTGCTCCGCCTGAGGTCCTTGCTCATCCCGACAGAGTCAGGCCCATTGGTGTGCGGCCTAGGTCATAGACTGGTGCTCCAGGCACTCTTTGGCAGCATCCTAAAGTTCTAGGAGCAGGAGAGCAGCAAGCAGCAGCTCAGTGGTGCCCTGTCGAGACCTCAGGGCAGGGTATAATCACCATTCTCGGCCTGCCAACCACGCAGCATGGACGGCTGGACCGGAGATCCGACCTGCATGGGTGCAACTCTGCAGTCTAGGGTTGCTGGGTGCCAAGACAAGAAAAACTACACTTCCCACAACCCCTCGCGTGCCCTGCTTGCTGCGGTTGCTCGTGGCCAATCGGGAGAGGCAGATGTGGCGGGGGCTGAGGAGGGACATTTTAAAAGGGCCGGGGATTGCGGGCGTCAGTGGCCATGGCGGATACAGCGACTACAGCATCGGCGACGGCGGCTAGTGCCGCTAGCGCTGCGACCGATGCACCTCCTTTTCAGCTGGGAAAACCCCGCTTTCAGCAGGTGAGGATTGAGCTGAGGTTTGCGGGCTCGCGGGTGGCACAGGGAGGAATAGCAAACTCCCCTTCAAAGTCCCCTTCACCGATAGGGTCTCCGACCCGCGGCCACCGGAGCCTGCAGCTAGTGCCGCGGGGACTTCGGCCACAACCATCCTTTCCCATTGGTCAGTGGGACGGGCGAGGATGCCCACCTTGGTTCTCTATTGGTGAATGGCACCGTCACTCCCCGGCTACCCGCGCCCTCTAGCCGTTCCGCCCGAGGCGCTCTGTGATTGGCTGTTGCTGGCGGCGGCCGAGGTTCGGCCTCCTGGGCCGGAGCAGATTTTTGCGGGGTCTCTCAGGCTTGTACAGCGCTTTGCTCTGGGCACAAAGTTCAAGTACGGCCCTTGATGAAAGTTGCAGTGCCCAGGATTTCTTCTAACTTTGCCCCCAAGTAGGACTGACATTCCTCCTGAGCTGCTGGCTGAGCCTCTGGACGGCATCCTTGCCCTGCAGTCATGCTCCCCATTCCTCAATCTAGAGCCGGGTCCGTGATGCGACGCAGGGTGGGACCGCGTGCCGCTGGGTTCGGAGGCCGGGCGACCCCTTCCTCCGGGCGACCCCTTCCTCCGGCTGAGAATTCGCTGACGCAGCGAAGCGGCCGGAGGGTATCCTGCAGGAACACAGCTAGAACATGTAGGGAGAGCGGGGGTGGGGTGCGGGATGCAGAGGAAGCGCTGTGTCATCTCCCGGGGTCGCAGCAGCCCCGGCCCTTCCCTCGCTGCGTTCTCCGCACCTGGGCCTGGCACCGCCGACCTCTGGGCTCTTTGGGTCAGGGAAACCGTGGTCCTTTCCCTCCCTGACCCCGCCTGCGTGTCACTAATTTGGACCTGGGTCTCGTAGCCAGCGCCTAAAGCGGCAGGCAGCCGGGACATGGAGGCCCATCCTGGAAGCCACAGCCTGACAAGGGCAGTTCCCACGCTGCAGACACTCGCGGAGGAAATGCACTTTGTTAGGAAACTGGCAAAGAGACTTGGCTAAAATGGACTGAGGCTTGGTGGGGGTGGGGCGTGGGGGATGGGAGGGATAGGTGACAGTAGGGGCACCAGAAAGAACTTTTCTGGAGAGAGGAAGTGGTTCAAAGATCAGGATGGTGACTTTTTTTTTTTTTTTTTTTTTGGCCATGACAGTGGGAGGAGGACCAGAGGTTTTCTGATAATTAAGAAGCTTCAAGGGGCTGGGGAGATGGCTCAGTGGAATAAGCGCTTCCCTGGCAAGCGCAAGGACCTGAGTTCAATCCCCGGTTCCACAAAAAAAAAAAAAGAAGCTTCTCCTAAGTCTTCTGAGAAAAAGTCCCCAGAGCCTTTAAAGGGGACTTGATTCCTTTTAAGAACAGGTAATCTCCACATGCAAGTGTGTGAGGGGAGATTGGCACCTTCCTGGTGGTGTAAGATGCTACCTTTGGTGAGACTGCCAGGAGTCCTTCTGCCTGGTCTTGGGCGATCCTTCATTCCCTACCCCTCCCCTGCTTCTGTTCACCCTTCTGTCAGGTTGTTATCCTCTGGGAAATGTCTGTTCTCTTCTCTGGTGCCTTTCTCCCCTGGTGTGATCCGATCCCGCTGCTGAGTCCCTCTTGGCTCTCTGGTCACTATCAATGGGATTCTTGTAGCCCACCTTTTCCCTGTAGTCTTCCCTGTGGTCCTCTAACTTGATGGTTACTTGGTCTCCTGAAACCCCAATGTAGGCCTTTTCTTTTCTTTTCTTTCTTTCTTTTCTTTTTTTTTTTTTTTTTTTTCTAGCTGGTTTTGAATGTCTTTAGGGCAGATTTGGCTGGCTTGAGTTGTGGAGATTGAACCACAGCAACCTGAGCCTGACTGCTTTGTTGAAGCAGCCACTTAAAGAACTGAGCTAAGGGGCAGGCCCCCTGTAGGCTTTTTGAGAAAGGGCTGAACTTGCCCTTTTCTGTGTCTTACCTTGAGATAAGATTAGATTTACAGTAACAGGGAGTAAAGACTTTTGGCTTTTGTTTTTTTATTATTTTCCTGGTGCCTCTTATCTGTGTGTGGCACTTGAGACAAGCAGTCACCCAACATTTATTGAGCCTCTTCGTGGCCTTTGCTGTGATCACTGCTGGAACCATAGAAGCACCCTTGAGGTCAGTGGGTTCCTGCGGCCATTGCTGGTACCTTGACTTGGCAGCAAAGTGGCATATACCTTACTGAAATGACCCTGGCTAACACAGTGCCTTAGAAGGACAGTGCGTGAGCTCGTGTGATTTATCCAGGTTAAGGAACTTTGCTGTAAACCTGTTCCTCTTACATTGTTCCCTGGCCCTGCTAGCAGCTTAGCTTGCCATCTATATTCTAGTCATAAACCTAGGATTTATGTGTACTTTCCTTTCTCTCCCCACCCTCTAAATACACCCAGAGATCATAATCTCACCTCTCAAACAGCTCTAACATCCACCCGTCTTCAGGCCTGGACTCCTACCAGCCCCAGGCCCCTCCCCGACCTCTTCCTGGGCCATTGTTGAAGGCTGGACGGGTCTGTCCACTTCTACTATGGCCATCCTCCAATCCTTCCCTCTTCCCTCTGGCAGTGTCCCAACGATGCAGGTCTTTCACACACACACACACACACACACACACACACACACACACACACACTTAAAACACCCTGCACTGGCTTCTCCTGCCTCTAAGAGACCTCCCCTCTGAAGGGTCCCACCCTATTGACTTCTTCTTTGAGTGATACTACCCCCGCCAACCACCTTCCCCCACACTAGCTGCTATTAGGCCTTTGGACATGCTTTATCAAGAGCCCTCTCCCCCAGTGCTTGGGTCATCTGCTGGAACACTGCCTTTCCTCTACCCTCAACTTTTACCCTGCTCTTTGTTCTTAATGTGTCGTGGAGCATCCCCACTCCTAAGCTGAGTTTCTGACTGTGCTCCTGTACTACAAAGCACCTCAAGGTACATATTCTTTTATCACCATGTCTCCTACTCTTTCAACCACAGGCTCCCTGGAACCGTGCTGGTCCTGCCTCCACTCCCTGTTGACTCAGCCCAGAGGCTGGTACTTCACGGTGCTTGTTAAAGATTTATGAATAAATGAATATGCTGCAGACACTTCAGCAGGTTTTGTGGTCAAATTGATATACTAGCTGTGATGCACCAAGCTTTATCCAAATTGTTCTTCAGGAATCTGTAAAATTGCAACCAAGTGGGAAAATGTTGGACAGTGCAAGATTCTTCTGCCCTGAGCCCCCAGAGTGGGGGTTGCTAAGGAGGTGAACCTAATGATAACAGTCTGCTGTGTATGCTGCCCAGCCATCTTCATCTGGGTCCTGCTCTGAGTGTTTGGGATGCAGTAGGCATCCAGTGAATGAATGTAGTACTCTACTGTAGCCTGGCAGAGCCTGATTTAGTGGTTCATAATGTGGGGTCCATTCTCAGAGCCCACAGTGGAGATACCACTGTGATTCTATAAAATCCTCCCTTCTTAGGACTTATACTTTCTAAGCAGTGGTTATGAATTGACATATGACTTTTAGTCAAGATCTTTCCTTACTTGCTGGGGTCACTCCAGAGCCTTCTTTGTTTACCTCCTCAAGAGCCTTCTGGTTGGTACAGAAGAATAGGGAGAACACTGAGCAGGATCAGCGGGTGGGAGAGGGTGATGAGCTTTGGTCTGTGCCCATTTTTCTCTCCATAGGATGACAACGAGGTAGGCATAGTGGTGCTTGCCTATAATCCCATCTGCTTGAGAGACTGAGGCAGGAAGATTGAAAGTTTTAGACCAGTCTCAGAAAAAAAATTACAATGCTATCCAGTGTATAATATGTCATGGAGCATCCCCACCCGCAAGCTGAGTTTCTGACTGTGCTCCTATACTGCAAAGCACCTCAAGGTATATACTGACAGGTAGCACATAAGACAAGCTTTATAAGAAAAGTAGCATACAGATTCAGTAGCTTCCTTGGTAGTCTAGCTCCAGAGTCTGTGTTTATTTATTATCAACTTTACTGTTGAGGCTTTTAGACATATAAAAGTAAAGACAATCATCAATCATCAATCATCAATGACCCCCATGTACCCGTCTTTAATCATCACTAACTTAAGGCCAATTTTGTGTCATATATATATTATTCAAAATAATGGAGCTAGGCATTTAGCTCAGTGGAAGAATGCTTGCCTAGCAAACTGGAAGCCCTGGGTTTAGTTCTATGCCAAAAAAACCAAGCAACCAAACAAACAAACAAACAAACAAACAAAAAAAAAAACCATTCCCAGCCAATACATTGTTTGAATCAAAACCCAAATAAGCAAAATGAATTATTTTGAAGCAAAAGCAAAATCTCATTATTTCATTGACTTATTAGTAGTATCTCTAAAAAATAAGTTCTCTTTTGCTTGGTTTTTCTTTTTGAGGGGTACCAAGATTTGAACTCAGAACCTCAGGCTTGCCAGGTGAGTGCTGCACTGCTTAGTTAAATCTCCAGCCCTTGCTTGGAATACTTTTAGATTTATAAAAGTTAAAATGATAACAAAGAATTCCTACATAACCCTCATGAAGGGTCCTCTAAGACCATCTCACATTACTGTGGCAAATTTGTCAGAGCTGAGCAATATTGGTATGTTCTGATTAACTATACTCCAAACTTTTATGGTAATGTCCCCTTTCTGTCCCAGGACCTCACCCAGAACCTTGCATTATATTTAGTCATGAAGTCTTCTTACTCTCTTCTGGTGTGTGGCAGTTTCTCAGACTTGTTTTTAATGACCAAGGTAGTACTGGGAAGCCCTGGTAGGGTATTTTGTAGTATGACCCTTAATTTGGATTTGCCCAGTATCTTTCTCGTAGACAGGCTGGATGTATGAGTCTTGAAGGAAGAATATCACAGAGGTTAAGAATCTTTGAGATCACATCATAGCGGAGGTTTTTAAAGTCATTTTAACATAACTGCAGTGTACTTTACACATCTAAAATGAGTTTTTGTTTGTTGTTGGGGGTATGATCTCACTA